ACTACAAACCATCGGTCCCAAAGGGAGGCCAAAGGATCGCCGGAATCCGCTGAACCGGCCGAGGGAACTCGTCGCGCCCGAAGAAACCTTGCAGTCCAGCCGCGCGCCGGGCGCTTTTCATCCGCGTCCTCGTGCCTGTCAGAAATCCGAAACTCGCCACCCGCGGGTTTGGCCGGGGCGAATGGGCTGGGGGGCACTGTGGTAGATTGATAGTACAAGTCTGTGAGGTGGGGTTGGGGCCTGCTTGTAACACAATTTGCCCAGCCCTGGTCTTACGCTGGATGCCATGGTGATACCAAGGGGATTCGGTTCTTCCCCGTGGAGACAAACACACCCGCATACACCTTCACGTGGCGTGCATCCAAGGTGCGGGAATTGCAGGGAAGATTTGTGGCGAGCATGGCCGTGGTGAACTGTGTCTCCTTGCCTGAGCACAGGTCGGCTGCACTCCACCTCCCGCCTTGATTTATGCTGCCAGGGAAGCCCCCCAAGGATTTAACCCAGTTGTGGGGTGCGTTCACCCAGGTGGCTATCCACTTTTGCCAACTTGGCTGGACATCCAAGTAATTCTCATTCTTCAGGCGCCACTTGTAGGGTGACCCAAACAAACCTCGCGAAAAGCCGCTCTAAGCGTGCGGCACCAGGATTTCTGCGCTCACGGGCCTGGCGGGGACCGTTGGAAGTGGGGAGAGGAGCGAAATAAGCTTGAAGACCCTTGAGAGGCAACCTCCCTATAACACTGCCAGGTTGTTTCATCCAGACTCAACATTAGGGAAGATTCGCGGCGAAATGACCTTCGTTGAGGCCAAATAAGGCCCGAAGAAGCAAGGCCCAACAAACATAGTATGAGACGCACCCTTTTCCAAGAGCAAAATCGCTTTCCAAAAGCTACCCTTTTTTCCCGAATGCTTGCCAAAATGTAGCGGCAACGAAATCCAACGACACGATCGCTTTGCCCCCTGCAAGCAACCTCTCGGCAGTTTTCTGCTCAGTGTCGGGTTCCTCGCGCATATTGCACACAACGTTCCAAGTGGACTGTCAACCAAAAGAAGATCGAGCGTTCGGTTTACCGCTGAAATTAGTTTGCCACCAAAATACGAAGGCCGAGAGCTTTTGGGGGCCCGCTTGTTACAAAGGCAAAGGGTTCCTGAAACGTCACAAAACCTTTTCCGAATGGCGATTTGCCACTCCTGCACGGCTGCCAAATTGGGACCCATGTAGTCTACATACATACACCGCATTTGCTCAGGATCTGGAATCTGAACTCGACACGCTGAAGCCCTTCGATGAAGCGCACTGGCTTGGCCGTCCAAACCCAGGTCAAACGCGAATGTCAAAAGCCTCAATTTGTTTACATCAAGCCCCCATGGAAAAAGTTCCCACAACCGAACGGTTTCTCTTTCCCGGATTCCTGTCAATTGACAAACCCTGGGCGGTATTGCCTGAAACAGCTGATATGCCCGCTCTAGACATCCCCCGACAAAGGAAATCTCGGCCCGAAAGGTGTATTTCAACCACAACTGGGAAGTAAGAGGCACCCTCTGAAAAACAGAATACGCATACACAATGCCCAAACCGAAAATCCCTAACCTAAGATGGAGGTGTGTTTCTATCTTGGCCAAGGACAAGAAAAATAGAATATCTTCAGATTCCGGTCCAATGCTGAATCTACCCTACGCAATTTTTTAAGGAGACCCCATAGGACTGCCAGACCCCCCTCCTCTCGGATCGGAGCAGGCTGGACGAGGACGAGCTGGCACCCGGAAGGGCACCAACGAGCAGCGCAAGCAGAGGTCTCATGGATCACCTCGGCTGACAGACGGAAGGTGAGCAACTGATGACCCTGAGTCATTGGATCTCCCTTTGAACCAGAAAGGGACCCCAACTCTGAAGGAAGGAAACAATCCAACCATATGAACAACTGACAAAATGACTGGTCTCTTGTCAGTTTGGGGACCCACACAACCAGGGTTGGATCCGGGTTGGGATCCAGCGTTGATTGCAGACTATGTCGAAAGACAGCCAAGCCCTCGTCTCTTGAGGGAAACCAAAAGGATGGTGCTTAAACGTTTAAGCAGTAGTGGTTCAAACATGTTTCAACAAGGGACAGGCCCAACCCAGCCGAAAAACTCGCTTCACACTTGTCAGGTCCAGACAGGAAGCCCAACCTGGGATACGCTCCCAACCGAGGGACCTCAAAATCTAATAGCCAAAGGTCAAAAGATACAAAACAAACCACATAAACTTTGCGGGCCACATACAAAACCCAAAAACCAAAGATCAAATCGATAAATTTGCCCGCCCCTCAAAATGACTCGTTTCTGATGACCCCCTTCCCATGGTCGTCTAAAATCCTCGCTGAATGTTGCCGGCCATCCTCAACCCGTCTAAAATCCTCAGGTCGGCAACTGACTGCTGCAGCTGCGGATCGCAGTCCGTTGGGCCCTTTGGTGGACGTCAGAATTCGGGGATTCATGTCGAGTCCAGGCACTTGTGAAGTAGCTCCCTATGAAACCTCAATGCAGTTTGAGATGCCCAAGGTGAAACCAGCAACGACAATCCAAAACAGCTGCTTCTGGGGAGTCCCTCTTTTAGGAAACAACGAAATCATGTCTTTGGCCATTGTCCGGACTGTTCTTAGACAAGGACGGTTGAGTTGTCGATCAACAATGTCGTCACCCTCACGGTTCGCCAGCTGGACATGTGAAAATTTGGGTGCTTCGTCACTTGGTCGTGGTGGAAATTTGAGTCCATGCCCCCCATGTCCTCCCCAAGCCAACAGTGACGGTTGCTCATGTGAACTGTCACGGCTTCTCACTGCAAACAAACGGCCAAAACAAGCAAAAAAACGCACACCAGATCAAGCGCTGCGAACGAACGGACCAGAAAAAGCAACAAAAAACAGTGACGCAGGCGTAACAACCAGACAAAATCACCGCGCGAAAAGAGAAGACGGCAGGACTTCCCCCTGGCCAAGCAACACAAAAGCGACCGGATCGTCTCTGATGAAGGACACCCTCAACCCCCCCCCCCAACACAAAAAAGCCAACCTTGAATAGGGTGCGCATAAAAGTTCCCTTCAACCAGAATCACCAAAGGCTGGGCAAACGCAACACTGGTTGAAGAATGGTTCACTTGCCCAATGACCATCCCCGGGCCTCGGAACCTACCCGGATCCACCCCAGAACCTACCCGGAACACACCTGGGAGCTTCCCAGAACAGCACCAAACCCTGGCTCTTTGGTTAAGGGCCTCAATAATTAGAATGCTTTCTGTTGTTGCTTTAGACCGAATTTACTTCTTTGCCCCATGGCAACCGGAGAAAAACCTCCAACCTCACTGCCAAAGGCGCGAAGCGCCGAGATCGCGCACTGGATGGTGCCAGATGGGCCCTGGTGGGGGCTGAGGGTCAAGGGCCATTTTGGCCCCGAAAAAAACTGATTGAGACAAGAAGCGGCTTTGGGAGGCAGTTGGGGCCTTGAGTTGTGTGTGTGTGTGATTGTGTGTGTCTTGTTGCTAACGGGAGCCCCGTTTTTGGCTGGCGGCTTCAAGGGACAACCAAGGAGCATCGCCCATTTAGGTGTTCCCCCATTGGAGACTAGCCCATATCTATATAAACATTTTGTTCAATCAAATTGGCAACCACGAGCTTCAACGTCCCTAGTTCCCTTCAAAAGCAAAGCCTGAATTGATATTCAAGCACAAGGTTGTGCCACCGTTTGGGGGGGGTGGGGACCTGAAAAGCGGGGTTGGCTGCAAGATTGGAGTACACAACCATGCCCTAAGCCCCTTCGAGGAACCTCAAAGAGTTTGTTCGGCGACTAGCCCCAGTTAGCGACCTGCTGGTGCCCTTGCACACACGCAGTCACATGATGATTGCAAGACTATGGTTGCATGCGAACCAACTTTTCGAGGTCCTGGACCCATCTCAACCCTAAGCACTGGACCCTCCATTGGCCTTCGAGGCTTCTTGGCGCCCTCCTTTGTGGTTTACCCAAACGACTTGTTGGCTCCGCCACCATGGCAAGTCGGGTTCCCAGACTGCGTGGTTTGTGTTGCAACCCGACGGGCGGAAGAAAGGGAAGCCAAAAGGCTGTTATTGAACCAAATCGGTCTAAACACGTTGCCGCGGGTTCGGCAGTCCATGGACTCTCAGCAGTCCCTCGCGGCTGAGCGCGGCGCTGAAATCTTCACGAAGCACGAGGCATGCTCATCTCGTGCCAAGCGCTGCAGTGGGATGGCGCGATGCATCCAGAGCAAATGAGCAACTCGTCAGAGGCACGCCGATGGTCCGCCTGAAGATTCCCCCCCGCCAAGGAAACAAGACAAACGGTGGGTTCCTTTTGCTCTGCTAAAACAAGGTCACGATTTCAGCGGGCCAAGAGGTACGTTTTGAGGAGTGACTCCTGCTTACCATGTTTTTATTTGCCAACGAGCCAACCAGCAAATGCTTTAAAAATCAAGCACATATTAGTCGGCTATGGAGTTTCATGGTTAAGACACCAACTCAAAGCTGGTTGGTGGATGCATAAATATTGATTTCTACCATAGAATCCCGAAACAAAACTCAACTTAGCTGTACCTCCGCAGGCAATGGAACGCTTACCGTTTGGATGCCTACTTCGCACAAAAAGGGCTCAGAGCAACCGGTGTGGGCACATGCCCGCACAGGGTTCCCAAAACTTGTGTTGGCCAATCCGATTCTCCCTGAACTCTTAAGCCCAAACAAGAGGACTCGATCTCAATTTGTACGCTTGTGGTTTGGTCTTTGGTTTGAGGTTTGGAGCAATCCTGGACAATAGTGGGGGTCTTCCGCTTAATTTCACCTGAAGGGGAAAGCAGTAAGGCTTGGTCAATGTTCAACCCCAAACCAAGCATGTGAATACTTCCGTGCATCATGTTAGTCAAAGGCGAAGAAATAAGATTCTACCAAGCGTTGACCAAGAAAATACATAGCCTGGTCAAGTGCGCGCCCTGTCGGTCGCCGGCGTTCTGTTTTATAATCGAGTCAGTCGCAGGCTGCCAGAGAGAGGTCTGCATCTGCTGGAAGCCCCTCATCGCCTGATCAGGAGGGTGTATCCAGGCAATTTACTGTGCATTTGGCAAGTGTCCTGTAGAATTTCCGTAGATGGTTTCTATCAATCTGGGTTTGAATTTTGACAGGGAACCATCTCACAAGCGGTTGGTGGACATGAATCTCCACCTAAATGATGGTCACCATCTGGGCAAATTAGTATGTGCCCAGGCCGGAATAAGAACCGCTCCGCCCCAGGGAAGGTACCGTCGCTCGTTTTACCCCCGGATCTGAGAACTCCCTAGACTTCTATTTCTATCACTGTGACAACATGCATCGCAGCCTTTTGAAGAGAAGGGCGACTGGAGTCAAGGTGTTCTGAATGATGAGGTTCAGTGAAAGCGCACCCAGGCCTGCCAGTCCTAAACATATCGTGCAGGATCATGATCTCGTCTGTGGCTTGAGGTTGGCCCAACTTAGCTCATTCCAATTTGAATATCTGGTCAATCTGGCGGGTTGGCGATTCAGCAATCGATCGAGTTCGCGACTTTGGCGATCTGGCGGTTTGACAACGACTCCAATGACCATTTCGTAGAGTCCAAGTCCCGTTCTGGTGTTCATTGTAGGATTTACCCGCACAGCACCCGAAGGGCCTAAATAATCAAAACCAAGTCTCCAGGCATGTCTATGCGAGTATGCTTTTGTACAAACACAATGTTTTTGGCTGAACGCAACAAACAACACCGTGTTTCCCCGCGAACGCCAAATCCGCGCCTGCTTGTTGCCCTAGGTGCAAATGATCCTTTCTTTGAGTATGCGCGTTCCGCGGGGATGATGACATGATTGCACGCCCACCCATCCCCCCTTCCCCGCCTCGCCGAGCCTCAGTAGTTGAAGGCTGAATGCATCAAGTCATGGGAACATCTCGAGGGGATGACCAACTCTGTGCCTAAACCCCTAGGTTGATGACCATCCCCAAATCATCGAAGAGGAAAGTGTACATGATCAAGTAACTGAACTTCTGGCATGAACCCCTCGTATCTTTTTAACCAAAAGACATGTGTAGCCATTTTGGCTTGCTTGGGACCCGCCTGCTCATACTCAAGCATTTGACAACCCCGGCGGCTTGCGGCTGTAAGGGAAAGCAAAACGGAAACCACCACGTTTTGGGGGGATGTGCGTAGAAAAGGACACGCTCCGCCCACGAGACACGCATCCCAAGCCCCGGGCCTCTGCGCCTTGGCTCATGCCTGCGCGCCACGTTGGAGTTGCACCGACAGGACAAGCACCCGTCCAATCTCCATGCTGGGCGCCCAGCAAAGATGGGGACACCTCCTCCACCACAATGCCTTTGTGGGAGTTTTCTTCCCCTTCCCCCAAAGGCGCCAGCTGGCTCCCCTGAATCTGCGCGGAAGAAAAGCTGAGCTTTGTTTCTCCCACTGAAGCAAGCCTTCGCACAGCAAAACGATCTGGGCAAATCACGATCTTTCACAAACTGGAAGTCAGGAAAGTACACGGCACGTCCGCAGTGTGGGTAAGTAAATGGGGTGACCAAACCAACATTGGGGAACAGTGTCGTCTAATGGCAACCCCCCAAAAATAAGCCCCTACTTGATTCTTGAGGGTGTGCCCCCTTTTAGTGAGGATCCTGATCTCTTTTGTGGGGGCCCCCACACCCCTATTGATAGGACGTGCTCTACTTAGTTCCGGGGGCAACATTTCTTTCACCCAACTGCAAGGTACCCCCCAGTAAGGAACCTTCCTGGGCAGGTTTTACCCTTCCGAAACCGCCGACGCCAATCGATATCGACCGAACACCCAAGAACCCCTCTTTCTTGTGTGTGTGAGTTTTCAAGGGGAGCCACAAGGGGACTCAACCATTGTGGATCTAGGACACACCTGCCCACATCATCTTGGATATCTGGCCATGGGTCAAAACCCCGTACCCCCAGTGAACATTCCAATCCCCACTAAAACAGGTTCTAAAATGGGTGGTGAATTCACCAATCCCCCAAAATGGGATCCCAAAACGGTTTTGACACCCACAGCCATCTCTCACCCGGAATCCCCCGGGCGCCCGGTTCGGTCCAAGGCCTCGCAGGAGGCGCAGGAAGGGCAGGAGGCCCAGCGGCAGCAGCATGGCGAGGCGGCAGATCAGCACCAGGCGGCTGAGCGCCGCCCAGCTGCGGCCCTAGCGCGGAGAGGGCGGATGGATTGGGAGAGGGTTTTTGGAGGGGGAGGGCTGGGAGGGGGAGGGGGGCTGGGAGGGGCTGGGAGCAGATGTTCGAGGGAGGTTTAGGGGGAGGTTCAGAGGGAGGGGAGGGGTGGATTGGAACTTGGTATGTTATGTCTGGAAGGAGTTTTGGGTTTGTGGGGGGGGGGGGAACGCTAGAGGGGTGGGTGGGGCTCGGGGGTTGGAGGGCTGGGGGCAACATCCCTTGTTCCGCTTTGTTTTTGGCCAGCTGGTTGCTTTTGAAGCGGAAACCCACCAAAGAAGAGGGGGATGACGTGTCTTTGTTTCTCTGAATGGTTGACTTCAACGGTACTGTATATCCAGGACAGGTACTCGCTGGGACCCTGTTGCAAGCCTCTGATTCAAGTCGGAAGCAGGGTATCCAAACTTAGTGGTTCCATGAGTGTTTGCTAAGCGTTAAATTTCTAGCAGCAAATGTCATAAATGGGTGTGCCTGCTTTTTATGGGGAGACCTCCCAAAATGAGGCGAGGGGTCCTTTTGGTTTCCCTTTAAAGCCACCCAAACAAGTGTTCCCTCATGTTCCCTCAAAGAACGACAGACGAAAGCCATACTCTGAACATCTAAACAGCCTAAGAAACTGTATGGCTGGGAACCGCCAAGCAAATATGAGGCTCATAAGCTGGGGGGCCTGATCCAGTGGAGCCCTTTGGAGGATGAAAGAGTTTGGTTTCCTGAGGCAACATGGTGACCCAAGTGGGTTGTTGCGGTCTTACATGGTAACCCAGCAAGTCGGATCCTCCTTTTTGGGTCCTTCAATCTGCTGTTGATGGCCCTCTTTCCAGTAATCATTGAAGCTGACGATTGGAGGGTTTTGGAAGACGACTGTCCTCTTGAACCGAAATGCCCGGCACATGTCCACTTTGAGGAGTGCTGGAATGAGGCTGACTCCCATGTTCTGACGTAATTTGGGCTTCGTGTACCCGATGGGGTTCTTTTGCTAGCCAACCGTTCGTGTTTTTCTAGGGGTTGATTCCCCATTCTTTTCAACCATCGTTCTTTTCGGAAAAAAAAGGGGGGGGGGGGGGAAAGAAAAAAAAACGCCGTTTTCCCTGGGTTTCCGGAGGTTTTCTAGAAAGAAGGATCCCTGGGAAAAAATGGGGACGGTACCCCTGGCGTTTTGTGTACTTGCCAAGACCAAGATGTGCCTCAGCCGGCCCTGCCTGGCCAGATCCAAGGTGGTTGGCCTAGGAAGGGGCGTTCTTCGACCGCGGAAAGCAAAAGAAAGCTCGGGAAGGAGAGCAAAGAAGGAAAGGAGAAACGAGAGCCGAACCCAAAAACCAAGATGCAACCAAGGAAAAAGGAAAGTTGGAAGAAGAGGAGCAAAGAAGGGAGGAAAGAACAAATTGGGCAAACAAAGAATCAGGGACTGGGTGTGGGTGGCGATGGGGCAGATTCCTGTAGCTTTTGAGTCATGCCTCAAATCGTCGCTCCAAGAACTGTTCCTTATCCCTGCGGCGGCCTTTCCCAGCTTCTCAAATAAGAAAACAAAACAAGCGTACACGAGCCAAGAAACATACAGAGGCAGAACAAAAAAAAGGAAGATATGCCTGTCAAAACAGGTTCGAATTGGAACGGCCGTCAACTTCCCTCAAGCGGGTTTTGTCTGTGTGTAAGTCCTTTTACCAGTGACACATCAAAAGTCAAGGGGCTTCGTTGCTTGCCTCCCATGTAGCCTAACAACTCCATGCCCGCTCCGCAATGTATGAGTCGCACTGTTGACAAACGCCCAGTGCCTGTTCCGAATCCGCAGTTCAAAAGTGAAATGTGCCAGGTAGAACCGACAGTGTTCGAGCATTTGGTTGACTGGACTCCTTGCGACCCCCTGTGCGGAGCGCATGCCATTGTCCCACAGGGGGAAATATGTCAACACCTGGCACCCCAGTCTGCCCAAGACCAAGTAAAGAATCAAAAGGCTGGTTTCCAGCTACAGGGCTGTTCCCATTCCCAGCTATGGGGCTCCCTAGCCTTCATCTACCCAGGTTTGTTGATATTGTGCCCCTCTTGGTTTCCCTTTCAACATTTTCCAAGAGTGAGACCCTGGACGTCTCGAAAGACACTAGCGGATCGAACCCTTCGAGGAGGAGTCCATGTTCTTGCGGAAGCTCAGCCCCAAACAAAGGCTAGAGCATGGAGAGCTCCCGCTAGCACAGCTCTCGCGACATGGCAATAAAGACTTCTTCAAAGAACCCCAGTGGATCCCAGCTACCGCTTTGCTCTTGGCTTTTGAAGGTGGTTCCCTTGGTTGGCAAAGGAGTCAATTTTGTCTCAAACGAAGCGGGCGCACCTCCACCAGCTGCGCCGCAATCCGGGCTGAGGCCTGGCTTCAAACTTCAGTCCAGTCCGGCTTTCAGGAGATTCGGGGGTGGGGCGTTTTGGGGTGGGGGGTGGGGGGGGAATTTGACTTTATTTATGTTATTTATTTAATTTCATGTTATGCATGTTATGCTTTTTTTTTTATTTTTGGGGGGGAGACACACCTCTGGGTGGGGAACCCAGTTGCTCCAAAATCTGTGGCAGAGATGTGGCCGGAAAACGGAGCGAAAGGAAGCCATTTAAAGTATATGTATGTGCGTCTTGCCAGGACTCTCAGCCAAAAACCAACATCTCAAGACTCACCCCTCAGCTTCTTAGTTCCTTTGGGGCCTGTAGGAAGTACCAGTATTCCACCCTTGCATCAAAAAGGCTCGGAGTGCCTCGGCCACCCCTCTCTAAGGTCGCAAATCCTGTTCAGTAGCTCAACATCTGGGCTCCAAACTCAACCGCCCATATGGTTCCCATCGGAACCTGCGTTACCCCTTGGTTACTGTTGACCCCGCTGCAACAAAAAAAAACTTGTTGCAGGTTTAAGGGAACATCCCTGAATTCCCAAAAAGTTAAAGCCTAATGATCCCACCCAATAGCAATCAAGAACCCAGCCGACGGCTTGGACCCACCTGGTCCCCCAGGTCCAAGACGAGGCTCAGCACCGCGAAGCCCAAGGCCCCAAAGTCCTCGGACTGGGCCGAGAGCCGAGAGATGCACACGGCTTTTCACCGCGAAAAGAACCGCCACGGCTGTTTTGCTGCGCTGTTTTCGTCCGGCGGAAAAAAGCGACAAACACGAGCTTACCTCCCTGCTTTTTACTTACTGTCATGTTTTATTTGCTTTCTGTATTTCTTTCTTTCTCTCTTTCTTGCTTTCTTGCTTGAGACAAGTTGAGCCCCCGATTTTCAGTCACGCTACGAGCCTGGTTCCTTGACTGGGGCACCTCTGGGAAATGTCCTAGCCTCACTGTGTCACCTCCCAACCTTTGTCGCGAGCGATCGGACTTCAACCACCCCCCCACAAAAAAGAAAGTTAAACCTTTTGCTCCCAGGGAAGAGCAACCCAGAATCTCCCTTTTAAAGAAGCCCGAAAAAGGTCGCCTTAAAGAAACGACTCTGCCAAAGAGCACCTCTAAGCGTTCATGGCTCTGGAGGGATACGGGGGCGGATCGAGGCTCGAGAAATTGAGTGCCTCCCCCATGTGTCCGTTTTGACCAACCCTTCACATGTGGAGCAAATCTGCAAGCACCGCCGGAATTGGTGGAGACCCTCGCCGCGAAAAGCGGCCAACGCAAAGACAAGGCCCTGAAGAAGCGCAGACTTCCCATGGCAAACTGCCCAAGCTATACGTCAGCTGCCCCAAGGACCCAGAAGTCTGGGGGTGGGCTGGCCTCATTATCAAAGTCATTCCCTAAGTGGTGGGTTAAGGGAAACCCCATTTTCTGACTTTGACAACCCCCAGAACCCGTCAAAATAATGACCCCAGGGTAGGGTGGGGGGCCTCTATTCTGGAAGTCGTTCTAAAGGGGACATGAGACCATGCATGATTCCAGGCATCGGCTGGGGCCGAGGGCAACATGGCCGTGAACCGCGCGGTCCTTTGGCGCACAATCTGCGCAGATCGCCAGGTTGGGCAAGAAGAACAAGGTGTCCACTGCACCTTCTCACAGCAACCCCCTCATCTCCCGTTGGTTTGGACACATAGTCCGATTAAAAAAGCAACCCTTGTGGACTGAAAAAGAGCAGAAATGGGGTGGGTCTCAAAACAGGAATCAAGCCTGGAAACCGGTTAGTTTCCTTTTGGTTTCCCTTTTATGTAAGTGCCAACCAAACGGGACAATCCTGAGAGACCTGCTGGTCCGACAGTCCGGGAGACCACTGAGTGGTGTGTGTGCGGGTGGGGTGCAAAAGGCAAAAACTACGCGGTTGAGCTGTTCAAAATGGCTTGGCTTAGAACCCAGGATTGGATGTTCCATTATCCCATGGAAATCGCTACCATGGGGACTTTGGCTTGGAAAAGAAGCCCAGTTCTTTTCGTGCCGTGTGCCCTGGCAAGATAATAAGAAAAGCCTTTTAGGCACACAAATTGTCTGGGTCGATTCAGCCGGCTGCTTTTTGCGGTTCTCAAAAACACTTTTTGGTGAGAGCTATGACTGACATAACCTGGATTCGATTCGAGGTTGCTTTCATGCGCAAAGTGAGAAGCTCACGTCAAGCAGCGGGACGTTTTCATGTGCAGTTGCCCCAACTGGAATCTGACTGGTCCCTCCATCACTTGCCTCCAGGGGCTTCCCTCTGCGAATCAGGCAGGTCCTTGGGCAAACCTCGCACCCAACTCGATCCACATGTGTGTACGCCCTTTTTTTGAGGCAACCTCTTTTCTGGTTCTCAAAGGAAAACCAAAAAGAAGAACCAAAGCCATATTGGGGGCTCCGATTCCTAAACAAGACCACACCCACAAGCTTCAAACTCTCCCACAGGTTCGCATGCCGCGAGCTGCCGCTCCCACCCACCGCGGTCCACCTACCACGGTAGCGCCCAAGGCGTAAATCCAGGCCGCGCCTGGAGTCCGTTGGGTTCTGGATTGGTGACTGAGTCACGTCGAATTCTATGCGAAGGAAACCCCCTGTTTGTTGCTCGATGTTTCAGGGAAACCTTCCCAAAGGAAGATGTGTCCAAAGGGACATGCTCATAAATGCACCGGCTCCTCCAAAGGTCTCTCTTTGGATCCTTGTGCCTGTTTTTGGGGTAGGTACGCCAGGCATTGCGCCATGAGGTAAAATTTGCTACACCGCATGTCCACCAACGACTTTTGAGGTGGCTCCCTATTAACTAAAATTCACACCCACATTGGAAAAATACAGAGCCTTCCAGTTTTGGTGGTTGAATGTGTTGTTTGGGGCCGAAGACGAACCGGACATGTTGACCACGAATCTCTTTTATGGGCTTGTGCTAAAAAAGGAGGACGGCGACATTCCCTTTAGCTCCTCCCTTAAACCCATGCCAGCAAACGGGTATCTGTTCGCCTCAAAACACAAATATACATATATTGATACGTAGATATATATATATATATGTTATATACATGTGTACATTTATCTAGATATGTATATAGAGAGAGAGAGAGAGATGGATCCCGGCTCGATTCCGTCGCCGAGCCGCTGGGGGCGGCAGCGGCCAGGAAAAACTGCACGCCTCCTCCAACCACCACCTGAGATCCCAGCAGACCCCATGATCATAACATGTGAATACCAACCAAAAGGGGGTGTGTGGGCTCAAAACTCCCATGTGGGCCATGGAAAAGGGCTTGTCTTTAAATGGGATATGGAACAGTTGGCAGCGGCATATACCCTGATATAAGACTTATATACTGACAGCCAATTATCTATTATGGCTCACCCGGCATCCAGCACTGGCCCAAGGACCCACATACGAACCTCCCCCAATGTGGAACCACGAACCTGCTTTTCTCGCGCCATGCTGAGGCACTTGCTGCCGTGGCTGTCGTGGCGCAAATGGTGGACACCAAGTGCTTGGTAACGTCCGCAGGCATCGCCTGCGAGCAACTGGCTGCCTTGAAACTCTTTCTCCTGCCGAACTGGGCCGCCCAGAGTTCCGCTTATGGCTGTGAAAAATGGCAACTTGCAGGAAAACCGAAGGAAAACCGGCCTCTTTGGGGGGGAGAGAAGTGGCAGCCAAAATACCACTCGGTTTGCACAAGGATGACAGGCGCGCCCCATGCCGGCCGGAGGCAAAAGCCTGAAAGGAAAACCGGGGTCCCCTAAAAATGACACACTATTTCCTTCAGTCTTGTTTTCAACCACCATTCAACCCTTCCAGGGTCGCAGCAAGCAGGTGAAAGTGAGGAAGGAAGGCAGCAGGAAGCGGAGGTGGGAATGCGAACCTCTAGGCCGTTTCTTGGAGGCAGTTGGGGGGAAAACTTTGTGGGTTTTGCAGCAGGCCTCTTTCTTGGATTTGGGAAATTCTTCAAGTGACGGAATTGGGGTTGGATGGGGATGATCCCATGCACAGGGAACGAATGCACCACCCACCACGCAGAGATTGCCGCCTTTGCCGCGCCTGGTGTGTGTGCATGTGGGAGCCACCTGCCCTCCCTGACTAGAGTCATCTCCCTGATTTTGTGCCGTTTGTGCACATGACGTCAGGAAGACATGACCAGAGAGCTGAATTGCTTTGTGTCTCGGCGGAGGGGTCCCAAGGACTTCACTTCCCTTAACGCGAGTCTCACCTCTCAGCTTTTGACTGCATGGATGTTGATGGAGAGGTAATCCGAGCCTCTTCTATTCCTTCGGGGCAGCCCTTATTCCGCGCGGGGTGTCAACATGTTGGACATATGTCACTGCAGCCAACCTTTGATGGGCGTGTCAATATGCCTGATCCAGCAGGATGTTTCAGTGAGGCAATGCGGTTGGTGCGTGGACGTGGTCGTCCTTTCAGCTTTCCTTCAACCACAAGAAAGGGGGTACCCTCGAAACTGACCCGTCCTCGGATCCCCTGCTCAAAGTGTTTTTTGTTTTTAAACTTTTAATGGGTTGAATGGACTCCCCCCCCCAAAAAAAAAGCCAAAAAGCTTCTAAGCCAAAAAGCTTCTAAGCACCAAAAAGCTGAAGAAGAAAAAACTGGGACGGCTGGGCACGGAAAAATCCCCCCGAAGCAAAAAAAAACAACCCGCCAAACCCCCAAGAAGCTTCGAAGCCACCGGCCGGGAGCCGATCTTCGATCGCCGCTCGCCTGGAAGGCCAGCAGCGCCAGCAGCCCCCCGACGCTGGACCCGGCCGTGGTGAGGGCCACCCACGCGCCGCTCACCTGGGGTGAGTTCCCCCCGTGGAGATTCGGTTTTTTGAGTCCTTTGAACCAAGCCACCATCAAAAACACACTCCCACACACCCATGTCATATGCTGTTTAACCCTCTACGCCCCTGCAAATTCACAGGAGTCTGCTTTTGGAGGACCCCTGGGTTCCATGTTAATTTGCAGGGGAGTAAGCTGGTTCGGTTCGGCTTGAAAGAAGCAAGGATCTTTGCATGGCCCGTTTGACTGACTTTACATTGGCAACCAACAGGTGATGCGTCAAACCACCCAAAATAGCACATAGAGGGGTGATCCCATTTGACCCGATCCACAGCTTTTGGCACCCGGAAAAGACAAACCAAAGACCCCGACCAAGGTTGCAACCCTGGTGGGTTGGCCTTGTTTTGCTCAGAGCTGCCCTGGGGTTGCAACATCTGGGTACTGTCAAAGTAGGGGTACCACCAAGATATAGTTGTCCCTTTGGCTTCACTTTGAACCAGCCTACCATCAAAAACACACAAAAAAAAACACCCACTTAACGGGCATGACCTTTGCACATGAGGACGCTTGCATCTGGAGAGCCGGTCGCAGGCAGGAGCTTGAAATGCCAAGGGCGGAATCCTTGCAAAAAACCTCTGGAAGGAACTCGCCCACGGTGGAGTATTTGAATTGGTTCAATCGATCTTGCTGACCAACAGAAAAGCATGATGGTGTCTAAGGGCCAGCTTCATACATACAGCCAAAGAAACCACCGGCGGTGAATCTGAAGCGTCTCCGCGCGAGACATGTATTTGAAAGCGGCATGGGCGCGCGCCGCTAATCTTTGAACATACGGGTGTGTTTAAATGGAGAGGAGTGAAGAACTCGGGGTGTGGCATATCCACAGGCCAACTTGATTGACCCGGTCAAGGCGGGTCAAAACATATTCGGACGATTCCCCTTGCACGGACTAGCCCTTCTACGGACTAGCCCACAACCCTTCAGGAATTTCCGCAGGACCCTTGAACACCCCTGTAACTAGCGTTCCGAACCAGCAATTCCAGTGCACAGTCAACATTCCTTGGGCACAGAAAGTTCTATGTTCAGATTCCTGATACTTAGCCTAGGCCGACAAAACAAAACAAAAACTGTTGGAGGGCTTGAGGGCACACTGAATTTAAATCTGGGCCCTCGTAGCCAAGTCCAACTTTGATCTTCCCTGCCTTGGTGGACATAAAGCTCGAGAAGGTGTCGCCCTCAGTGGGCACCTCAGCGCTGTTTGCTGTCTCTTGGAAGTCGGAACCCTCCAAGCTGAAAACAAATCTGCCGACCCTCTGCCTCCCGTCCCAGCCTTCTGCAGAGGGGACCGGCGTGGGATGCAACTGGAAGTGATTGGAATCAATGATGGTCCCTGGGCCGAAAGCACAAAAAGTGGATTCCCAGGACCGGTCCTGGGACCAGTCCTGGTCCCGGAGGACCGCTTTCAGGACTGGTCCAAGCCGGTCCCGGGATCGAGTCCTGGTGTGACCGCTGGTATCGGATCCCACTTCAAACCGCTGCACCTCAAACTGCTCCAGACACCTGTTTCCGGACTGGCACCCGTGTTTCAGGATCGGACAGGGTCCCAAGTCCCAGTCACTCCCGGCCCGGTTGAGGGGCGCCGACGGCCTTGTTTCTGGGACCAGCTCAACGTAACTTGGGCGCAAACCGGCCCGTGCGGTCATTGACGGACGAGCTGCCATCTGTCTGACTTTTCCGTTAATCCTTGTGGTCGTAGAGGATCCCTGGATCTATTCTGCAAGAGAGTCCAACACGTCGAGTCAAACCGCGCCAGACTGGGACCAGCCTGGACAGGGTCCCAAGTCCCGGTCCCTGCCGGCGACCGGTCCAGGGCAACTGTCCCCGGGGCAGTTTCGGGAGGGCCAGTTTCAGGGCGACCCCGGGAGAGGCGACTGCTCCCGGGCCAACTCGAAGTGACTTGGGCGCAAGCCGGCCCGAGCGGTAATTAACGGACTAGCTGCCATATTTCTCACTTTTCCGTTAATCCTTGTTTGTGGTCGTAAAAGATCTTATAAGTGGTCCCTGGGTTTGCGGACGTGTTTCAGGACCGGTCGTTCCTTAATGCGCCGAGGGTCGGCGGCAGCAGGCGGGAGCCTGGTTAATCCGTCGCCGCTAGGCAATTAGCCTGCTAGCTTTAGCTATAGGGGGTGCACCCTGGTGCCGCCGACCCTCGCCACTTGGTCGTGATGCGCTGCCTAAATCCGGCACCTCTGCATCACCAGCTCGGGCTTGCGGTTTTGCTTGCCTGTGGGAAACCCTCGCAAAACGTCGCGTATATGCAGGGTTTAGGCCATGTGGCTGACATCATCAGGGTCTGGGGTTGGGCCTGGGCGATGCTTCAGCGGGGCTTGGCCTGCATCATCAAGACTTCCTTCCAAAAAGCCTCTCAACCCATGAAGCACTGTTTTTAAGAAGGTATCGGAGGGGTATAAGCGAGGCTCATTTTTGCGCATTTTGGCGCCAAGCGCTGCCGGGCATGCCAGTGATGCTGGGTCCTCGCTCTCCAAAACGCTGTAAATACCGCCAAAAACTGCTGCGCTGAGCGTTGGGCTGTTGTTCTGTCCGTTTTGCTCTTGCTGTGGCTGGCTCGCGCGCTGCGCAGTCCTTGCTTTTTTCCCGTTGGTTTTCGGGCTTTTTGGCGCGCGCGCGCGCGCGCGACCCCAGCCACGAAACGCTGCTATTTACAGTGTTTTGTTGCGTTTGCGTTTCCGGGCTGGCTTGCGGGCTGCTCTTTTTGGGCTGCTTTTTTGGGGTCCTCTGGCGCGCGCGCGCGCGCGACCCCATGTCAGCCTTCTGGGTTGGGGCCCGGCTGGGGCCCAGAAAGCCGGCATCCCCGGCATTATCTGGGGTTAAGGTGGGCAACATAGCCATATCATAGCACAGGATACGTTTCTCATGCACAAAGCATGACATGACGTGGCATAACTTCAAAGAGGCGTAGCCGGCTAGAGGCCGCAGGCCCAGAAAATATGTTAGGGGGTGTTGTTGTTTTCCCCCCCCCCCCCCCCGAAAAATGATCAAGACCAATGGGATTCAAAAGAGTGTATGGTGTCCATATGTTTGGGAAATGAGCCAACTCCCATTGGGGTTCAAGTTCGGTTCCCCTCCTGCTGGCTCCAGCTAGGGACATCCCAAGAGGTGAAGGAGCCCCCCAAGCGGAAAACGCCCAAAAAGGCTAAGGAAAACCCGCTGTTCCCTGCCGCAGAAACTGTCCTCCCAACATGAACTCCAGGAACCCAGGGAGTGAGACACTCCAAAAAACCCAAAAACAAAACAAGAAATCGGGTAAACCCGAGAGGTCCATGGCTTTCTGGGCGACCCCTGCCGCACCCCGGAGGAAGAGGAAGCAGGCGCCAAAGAGGGCGGCTGGCGCAAAGAAATCCATCGCTTGGGTGATCCTTTCTGACATGAAAAGACCAAAGGGACCTTTCTGGAAACAAAAGGGTTACTCTGGCCTTAAAGGGAAGCTTTGTGAGGAAACTAAACTGTTGCGGTCTGAACATGTTTGGGTGCCTTTCTTGGTTAAACCTCCCCCCGTTTTGTTTGGTTTGAGGGCAATCCATCTTCTGGCCCAAGCTGGCGTGTGGCATATGACTAAACGACTGGGGCCCAATGGAATATCCATCTTTAAGCCGCGGTCAACGCGACTGGTGAATCTCAAGCGCGCCTCCATTTGGTGGAGCTATGTTTCAGAGGAACCCTCAATGACGACCCATGCGAACCTGCATCAACGCTGCTAAGACTGGGGTCCAGCCATGTACCGGCGAAGGGTGGTGCCCTATATAATATTGGAGATGGACCCCTTTCAGAAACTGGGAATTTATTGGTCGTCTACTGTGGGTGTCGTAGGGCTTGTTCTCACAACATACAGGAAGAACTCACTTTCCCATGTCCTCTCGGCCAAACGAGCAATATCGCCCGCCCGATTCAAGGAAGCCCGGAACCCAATCCTTCCTTGAAAAACCTGCAAAAACAGTTACAGCTGGAGATGTGGCGCGTTTCTTCAACTCGCCTGCAGCGCCGATTCCTAGCTGGTCCCAAACATACGCCCAGACAACAGGCTTTGTCCTGCTTTGTTCCCCAAGATGGCCCCTTAATCAAGTGAGTCATGGCCAAAGCCTGGCTCTAAAGGCCTCTCTGCGAAAGGGCGTCTTGACCCCCAGTGGCCATGGGAAAACCAAGTCAACCCCGTTTTGGTAGTTGGTTTTAAATAAAGGAGAACCTACTTCTGCTTGGGGCCGTCCCTTTCTAACCTCATCGCCCAAGCGCCCAACCGTGCCTGCAGATACGACGCGGCCTCGAGTTGGTGGGTCCATCGAAGTGGTTGCGGTTTACTTTTGAAAGCCGCGGGTTTGTCCCAGATGCCCATGTTTTGAAACTCCTAACTCAACTCGATCTGAAAATGTCCCGTAAAGTAGGCATTTGAGGGTTCTCAACATGACTTTGAGATGGTTTCCCTTGAAACCACCATCGAGAGGGTGATCTTGAGGTGTCACATTTTTGACACTGTATGACTTGGTGCCTATTGATGTTCGTTTAATCACCCGGGAAAGCTGCCTCACATTCCATCGGTCTGATTTGCTTCACGGTCTGCTTCGACAATGACCTTCTTGCAACCATGTGTATTATCTTCTACATCTGGGCTCAAGCCCTTCTTGCGCGCATACTAGACAGCGTGTAGAAAAGAGCCCTTACTGCTTGCGCTTACAGGTAGATGTCAGGAAACCATGCAACTAGGACACATCCTGCACTTCCTCTACATCCATCCACCTGACACTTCCTTATCGGTTCTGACATAAAACCAGGCACAATAGTGAGTAGCCCCTTGTACGGCCCACAGAGGGTCCACCCCTAGTCCCATGTTTCTTGGTCTTCAAGGGATTTCCGCATCCCCAAATTCCATTTGTAGCAGACTGGGACTCGCAGACCGCTCTGTGCTTGAGTGCCTGCCGTGAAGCCTATGAACAACAACTCAGTTCCCCTGGTGTTTGGGGAGAGCATTTCAGTTGCCAAGTCCACTTGAAATCGGGACCCGAAAGGAAACCGGCTGGCGCCCTTCAACTTGGGCTTCAACCCCCTTGGCTTCGGGCAACAACGAAAAAACATGGGGAAAAAAAAGGCAACAAAAACGAAACAAAACCAAAAATAAAGGAGAAGAAACGAATGGAAACAACAAACTAACCAACCCCCCCCCCAAAAAAAAAAAAAGAAGAAAAAAGAACACAACAAATATATATATATATATACAAATAAAGCGGGGGCTCGCAGGTTGGGAATCGAATCTCGGGGAGACCGCTCCGGTCCGCGCCTCTGCGGCTTGGGCCACACGAGGCCGATGCCGGAACGGGGAAGGAGGCGAACCTGGGGCCAAAGGGGGGGGGGCCGGGGCCGGGGGCGGGGGGTCTTTTGAACACAAAAAGGACGCGAGTTACAGGGCTCCATATATGGTGCAGTGTCCCTAACCCCCCCTTCCCCCCAGTGTTGTATATAGAGATACATATGCTTATAAGCATAGATCTATATATGTGTACCATGTTACAACGCCCTGCGAGGACCCTCGCGACAGGGCTTATCAACATAGGCCCCATCCTGCTTGTAGGATGAGTTTTAAGAGAATCCAAAGTCAAGCCAAACGCAGCAAGTGACTCACCGAGCTCACCTATAGCAGGAAACCCAACCATCAGCCACAAATGGGGTGTCCTATGATGTGTTCCTTTTGAAACCCAAGTTGGACTTACAAACCAGGCACTTCAAAAGGGACTGGACAAGGAATGTGCACCCTGATTAGTTGGGCTATTGCGTCATGATTGAAAGAAAAGTCACATTCCAAATCTGATACAGAGTTGCCAATTTGTCCTTCCATTTACTCAAGCCTCCTGGAAAAATACGAAGTACTTCCAGTAGTGATAGATTACCTTTAAAACCAACAGGGAAAAATAGAACATATTCTTAAGCAAATGGACGTTTCCCTGGTAAACATCACTCCACAAAAGGATGCTCTGTGTAAATCGTAAATTGTCAACTGACAGGTGCTGTTTAAAAAGCGATGGAGACTCTTAATCCCTCCCCCTTGACCCGGCTCAGCCGAGGCGCATGGAGACGGGAACCGCCGCTAGAGGAACAATCGCCTCAGCGAGAGCGCCTCTGACCCCGCTAGCTCGGTGCTTTCTCCTGTGGTGCTCAAGAACCAGAGGTTCAAATGTCAATCCAAAGCACCAATTGAGGGCAAACGAGAATCCCTTCACGCATGAATTAAAACTTGAGTGAACAACACATATCGCTTTCGTTTGCTTTGCATAGCGAACCTTGCTCAATAGCTGATTCGTTGTTCAACCAAAAGGCACCTACATGCTGAATATTACAAAATCATCTGGACCTGTCACGTTGATGAATGCCCTGGTAACATCAACCATGGCTCTCAGGATCGCCTGCTCCTTTCCCCAAATCAGCGGCTTATGAGGCCTCCTGTGCAATCAGGTACCTTCATGGAACCCTTTGTAGAGGAATCTCCTTTGGGGGAACCCCCCTTTTGGGTGCCATGCTGATCTGCAGAGAAGTAAGCTCTCAACATCTCCTGCTCTTCGCAAGGTGCGAAACCAGCATCAAGCCGGTCAAGCTGCAAGCAAACCCACATAAATGTGCCCCACTGGTTGATTCATGCTGGGCCAAACTTAAGCACGCGCACACACGCATGCTGTCTAAATTCCTAATTTAGGGGTCCATGACTGGCCTCACCAAGCATCCAAAGGGGTGTGTTTGACCATCGCACGACAGAAATAGGTGCAACTTGTCTTGCGTCATATCCAAAGAAAACATCCACAGACCCACATCAACACACACACACACAGACAGCACGCGCGGCTGACCGGGACCGGCAAAAACTCGATCCGGGGCAGCGGGCGCACACTTTGGCCGCTGTGTAATGACTACCTGAGGCGTCACTCGGAAACGGCCAAATTTGCTAACAATCATATTACTATTATTTCGATGAGTATTTCTATTATGATTCTTCTGATCACTACGATAAATATTATTGCTATTATTATTAGTAGTAGTAAAAGGAAAAACATGTAGTAGTAGTAGTCGTAGTAGTAGTAGTAGTACTCTTACTATTACCATCACCATCGTCATCATCATCGTCATCATCATCATGATCATCATCGTCATCATCATCAACATCAACATCATCTGGCCGCTCACTTCTTGGTGTCGATTCTGGATTCCAGGAACTGGTCAACTATAAATCATGACTCCATAGGGCCAAGTACGAACTCAGGCTAAAGCGTGTTTGCCCTTGAAAGAGACCTAGCAACAAAAAGTTCAGAGTCTGGAAACTGAACAGGTAAAATGTCCCAGACCCCCAATGACCACAACAGCCAAAACAAGACAACACCCTTTTTTTGGGCTGGTTGATTTTTCCCCTGCCCCAACCCGCCCGAAAGCTTCTGAAAAGAGCCACGGCGCAGGTCGCCAGGAGCAAAGGGCTCGTCGCGAAGGCCAGGAGGCTCCCGGCCTCCGCTCGAGCTTCGACGGCCGAAAACTGCGCGGACCCACAAGGGGGACCTCTCATGAAGGGACCCGCCATATACAAAATGGAAACCAGCAAGTCACAGTACTCCTCTGGACTTTTTGCGCCTGGAGGGGAGGCAGGCCTCCAAAACACCCCAGGGTTGTTACTCAAGGTCTCAAGAAGCTGAACCAATCAAGCTGACTCTGAGCGATGGGTTCCTTCGCTTCTCCCACCAACTTTGGCTCATGCCATGGGAACAAATCGAAGCCCGCGCGCCGTCTTGAAGGCGAAGGCGGTGGATTGCACCTGGACAATTTCTCGAGCCGATTGAGCCGCAGCCTATGGGGGCAAATATGGGTGGCTCGCGCTTTTTGTGGTTGGCATTTTGTTTGGGGTTCTGAAAGGAAACCAATTGGTTTCCAACCACCAGTTTGAGTCTCGGGGGGCGGGGGGAGCATTTTTTGAAACACACCTATGTGGGTATGGCTCGTCAAAGGGGTGTGGACCACATGGATTTCAGCTGTCCTTTCAGTTTCCCTTTAAACCACCGCCAAAAAAAGGCACCCTAAAAACCTGATAGAGGCCACCAACCTGACTGCAAACATACACAACCCCTAAAGTATTCCAAAGATACCCCTACGTAAAAAACTACTAGAACCCTTGAAAGCGATTCACACACACACAAAACAAAATCCTCAACATCCTCAAAAGCATCACCAAACATATCCCCACAAGCATCTCCGAATACAAATCCCAGAGCTCCAAACCATATACAAAACGCCAAGAAATCGTCAAGACACCCCCAAGGACAACATCCTAAAGACATCTCCACAAGACACCTTCTCTTGTATGTCCCCTTAGTCATACCAAAGACATCACCCAAGACAAGCGCAAAGACATCAACCAGGACAACTGCAAAGACATCCCAATGACACCCGCAAAGACATCATCCTCAAACCATTCCCCCAAGACGCCTCCAAAAGACTGCAATCATCCCTGCAAGACCTTCCAAAGATACCCCGAAGTCATCCCAAAGACATCACCCATGACAACCGCAAACACACCCACAGTTAGCTCCAAAAACATCCCCCAAAAGAAGATTCCTAAAGTCATCTTCCCAAGTCATTCCATGCTCTATTGTTTCCGTTTCCCTAGTGGCACAGCAAGCGCAACACTTGCGAACGCTTTGTGGATGCTTTACGGACGCTTTACAAAAAACATCTTTACAAACACAAACGAATTTCAAGCGCCCGAGTGTGGGTATCCTCCTGACCCCCAGACCCCAAACCTTTAAAACGGGAACCCTTCTGCTGCCCTTGGGAACCGGGATAAAAATGCTGCGTTGCAGGTTCTCAGCAAGGCAGGCCGTGGCTCATGGGTGGCTCATGTGGGGGTCTCAGAGAATGAGTTTGGGAAGAAATAAGAACGAATCGCAAGCCAGAAAAGAAGGCATCCCCAAGCCAGGATGGGCCTTCATCCTCTGACCAATGAGGCTGGATGGACGGAGGATAGGAGCAAGATGGTGTCATGTCCACAGTTCACATTGACCTTTGGTTGGCAAACCTTCCACCACGACCGACCCAGAAAATTATCACTCAGAGAAGAACATGCCTTAATTTTTAACCATCCCAAGGAGCTACGTTCAATCCACGGAAATTGCACTGGGTTGGTCTTTGACCCTACAAAGAGCTACTTTGGCCACCAAGCCCCTTAAAGAACAAGCAAGGTGAGGGATTGACAAATGAGTGATCGACGCCCTCCAAGGCTCACACAACGCAAATGTCCGGAACCTCCCCATGGAGAACCCCATTCTCAAGGGGCCTTGAATCAACCCAGCTTTTAGAGTTTTCCCACAAATCGGGAAACTTGGTGAGTCTTGAAAGGTTGAAGGACAACCCTTGGCTTCAGGGTCCACAGAAAGATCACAAGCTTTCGGGAAAACTGCAAGGAGCGCATCCGCTTCGGCCGCCCAAGTTCCACGCCTCCGCCCCGCAAAGGTTGAGGTTGCGCCTGGGCCAAAGGCCCCGATGGCGCCCGAAGAAATCTGAACAGAGGGGTCGGATAGAGGCTATCTTCACACAAGGGGGGGTAGTCTCGAAAGGACGGCAGTGGTTTGAACCATCACCTTTTCAGCCGATGTTCAGTCAGTTTCCTTTGGTTGGGGTGATAAATTAAAAAGAACTACAAGGAACCCTGGCAAATCAAACTGCGCTGCCGAAACACACAAGCCACATGAGTTGTAATCAAACCTGGCATGAACCCAAAGCAAACAACTAAACGGGCAGCTACACCTACTTATGGCTGGGATTGCGTCTGGACCTTCACCTTCCTGCTCGTTCTTTGTGGCTCACATGCTTTGTTGGCTGTAGGCCTGAGAAATCTACTCGCTCGCGGAAGGGTTCTAGTCCCCGCAATTGCCAAGTGCTGGTTTTCTTCCAAGCACTTCTCTCTGGCGAACACGGAAACCTGTTAAAACCGAGCGTCACATAGGGGGCCCAGCATTACATGTTCAGATGTCATTCAGTCATGGCAAGGTGCTGTGACTTTTGGAGGTCAGCAGAAAGTTGTCCTCGCACCGGTGGTTTGTTACCACTTACCACGGACAGGTGCGCAACCAATGGTGAAAGGCGGAGAATAACAAGTCAGAAATCTGAAGCAACACACCAAGCAAAATTCAATACTAATAAGATGTTCAAATCAGAAATGCAATCCCGGAGGAAAACGAGAAAGACTATGACTAAAGAAAGAAGACGCAAAGGACATATGACGAAATCTATGAAACACGTATGTGTATTTGGTCCCCCCTGGATCTACCTTCCTTCAGAATTCACTAGTATGTGCAGTGTTTTCTGCCTTCTTAGGGGCTTTGGGGGAAGTAGCAAAAAAAGCCGCATTTCCAAAGACAATCAGAAAGCTTTAAAAGTTTAGGGGAATCTTGAATCCAGTCGGCTTGGATCTACCTCTGTCCTATTTCTATATAAGCTGAAGTTTGGTCAGAAGATGCAAAACAACCTGTGTTGGAGCCATTGGCCCAAAAGTGAAGACGAAAATAAGTAAAGTTAAAAGAAGTAAAGTTATGGAGCCAGAGACCCAAAGTAAAAAGTAGAAAAGTAAAAATCTGGAGCCAATGACCCAAAAGTAAAAAATTAAAAAAAGTATTATTAAACAAACTAGAGAAGAACACCAGTAAAAAAAAGAAAGAAAGTAAAACATTTCCATAGATTACAAAACCCCTCCCCCCTTATACCCCCTCCCCATTTCATCTAAGAGGTCTTTGCAGGGCTGTGCGCTTTTGGCTTACTAATAGCTTACTAATAGCTGCCAATAGTTTCCCGGCTTTCGCGTACAAATAGCTGCTATTAGGTAGCTATTAGCAGCCATATTTTCCTGCAGGATTGTGCCGGGTTGTCACGCTGCTTCAAACGCTTGAAGTCTTTACAGGCGGCAGGTTGTTGCAATGCCGCGATGGCTGGTACTGAAATCGTCGGATAGCCTCCAAGTTTTGGGTCATATCACAATATTGATCCCCGAAGATTTCAGCAATGTACAAATCCACTGGGCACAGTCTGAGTGGTTCAATCAGCTGTTCAAACTGGGCGGCAAAAATGCCGAGTGGGAAGGTATCAAAGCGTCCGAGTCTGGCGGAGTCTGGCTGAATTGCATTGCTCGCGGGGTCTAGGTAGCTAGTCACTGCGATTAGCAACCTATCAGCAGCTATTTGAAACCGGGGGGGGGGGGGTCTGTAAGTCTATTCGGGCCCTAATAGCTGACTAATAGGCTGCTATTAGTACGCTATTAGTACCCTATTTGAAAGGGGGGGGGAGGGCCGTAAAACTCGAGTTTTTTCAGTGTTTTGGCTTCCCGAGGCTGTTTTCTGCGGATTTTCGGACAACCCCAGGAAAACTGGCGAGGGCTCGAGTCGTAGGGGAGCATTTGGCAAAGAGAATAGCAAAGAGACGAGCTTTAGGGGAGCAATTTTACCGAGTCATTTAGCAAAGGAACGAGTTTCAGGCTAGCCTGTCTCGTATGTTGTCGCAATTAGCCTTTACTGATCGAAACGCTTCGCTTGCAAATGCAATGCGCGTGATTCAAGCCTCTCCCAAGGAGTGTTGCTAGCGTGCGGGGCTGGAAGTGCATTCCCCCAAGGACCTCTCCCAGGCACCCTAGGCAGATAAGCATTTTACACTTAAATGAAAAGGGGGGGGGTACAAGGGGGGGGGGCTTAGTCATCTATGGCATTTCAGTCCATGCTCAGAGCATATTACTTCTGAACCATGGGCTGGTTTGTTTTTCTTTTACTTTTTCACTTGTTTCCTTGTTTACTTCTTTGTACTTTTTACTTGTCGGTCATTGGCCCCAGAAACTTACTTTTACTTATTTGCCTTTATACTTTTGGGTCTCTGGCTCCAGAAATTTAACTCTTTTGCTTTTGGGATATTGGCTCCAAGTTTGCTCTTTGTCTTTGTACTTCTGGGTCATTGGCTCCAGCTCTTTACACTTTTACTCTTGGGCCATTGGCTTCATAATTTTACTTCATTTTTCACTTTTGCGCCATTGGCTCCATCATAGCTGCTGTCTTGCATCTTCTGACCAAACCGCAGCTCAGAATGGACAGGTCTAGGGTGCAGGGTTTGGGGTTTATTGACTCACGTTAATCGGAATCGGGCTTATTTCTCGTAGGTGTTTGCTCAACGGTTTTAATTGGAAACATGCTTTTGCGTTCAATTGGACGCGTGGGTTTATTGCTTTGCTAGTGTTATTTTGCTTGGAATTCAAAGTATGTGATAGGGGTTTAGCATCAAAACGCCACTTAGACTTCTTGTCTCAGAATAGGCTTCCAAGACTATTTTAAATCGGGTCTTCTAGGGTTGTGGTTGTTCAATTTTCTCATGAGAATTGAAAGTGGGTTTGGTAAGGAACACCTTGCCGAAGAAGATGCGCAATCAAACCTCTTAATTGAAACTAATGTTCATTCACGTTGATTTGCTGACATAGTTTCACTAGAACTCAATAAAGACATAACTCTAATAGAATGTCTAGTTTTGAAGAGAATTTACATAGTTCTTTTTAAAACTAGAGGTTCAAAAGGATGTCTTTTCCCATGATGATTTGTTGAATTTTCTTCTTGGGACTTAAATAGTTTTTAAAGGTGAACAACACCTAATACAATTTCTAGACTTAACGGTGGTTTGAATAGGGTTTCCCTTTTGAAGAAAATCGTGAATTGGGATTCGTACTTCCAAATACATTTTAAAGAGAACGTCCGTTCCGGGAAATTGTGTCTCCACTTTCTGTTTAGAATCTAAAAAGGACATAATCCTAGTAGAGTTTCCAATTTTTACATAATTTAGATAGGATGATTGGAATTAGGTGTTGAAGAGGATTTCCTTGCTTCGGGTGAGCTGACGCTGGTCGAGTCGCATGGGGAATTCCAAATAAAACAACTGCATTCCATCTCCAAAACTGCCTTCAAACAGCAAAAAGGTAGATCCGTCGCAGAGGGTTGTTGCATAAGAAATAAATAAATAAATATATAAATGAATATCTATATATGTGTATGTCTATCTATCTCTCTATGCTTCTCTTTTGGTGCCTCTCCAGCGCATGGTTTGCTCATCCAGGAGTGGAAGGAAAAATCGCAACTTGGATGAGGAACAAATAAGACTAGAACCAAGGATCTCTCAACTAGGACAAGGAACAAACTAGGACTAGAAGACCCATGATTCTTGTAATAGCTGGTTTTCCGGTATAACTTCTGTACTGTCCGTTGTGCTGCCTAACTATTCCAGTCACCTGGCACTAGAAGCAAGGATCTCCCAACGAGGACCAAACTACGACTAAACAATTTAACTCTACTTGTTATAGTTTTTGGATGTTAAGTATCACATTCTATTGGGAAGAAGTTCATGTGCAACATTTGGTTTGACATAGGCCAGCCAAGATGTCAGTTCCAACTTAAGATGAAAACCGTGACTGGGTTGTTTCCTTATTCAATCCTCTACATAAAACAACCAACTTTGACGTTCTAATTTAAGATCGAAATTCTGACTGAGGTGTTTGATTTCAATCAAAAGTTGGGTGGAATTTGTTAAGCATGTCAAGTAGAGTTCATAAGGAAAGAAGTCAGAGGTCCCAAACTTTTGTTTTTTCACTAGCCCCAGCACAACCATGGTCAGACAGCGCTGCAAAGCACAGTGTTTGTTCATTTGATTTTGAACGGGATCTAACTGGGAATTAATGCAGAAGTACTTTTCAACGGGATTTGTTGGGACTCAATGCAGAAGTACTTATTCAGAACCCTACTGGGCAGTGTGACTGTGATATTAGAGCTTAACCACAGGAAAGAATCCAAGCCTGACGTAAGATTCGAGGTTCGATGTTTCCTAGACAAGTCTTCTCTGCAAACCCGAGTCCAGGGTGCGAGTGAAACCAATTGAAACGAGCCTGGGTTCAAGATCGCCTAGAAAAGTTTGGCCTGCAATCTTGAATATGGACCTAGATTGAAACAGATTGAAACAGATAGAGTTAATTATCAGGACTTGGATGCTTGCGCATGGGTCTCGATTATCCCGACTTGAGCCGGTTTGAATGGAAATCGGGCCTGGGTTCAAAATTCAAGGTTCAAGAATCCGGACCAAGCTTTTGCAGGAAATCTTGAACCCAGGCCTCGATTTAACTCGAGGCTCAAGGTTCAAGATTCCCTCCAAAAGTTTGACCTGGATTTTAATTTTTCAGATCCGATGTACATGTGAATCGGTTTTAAGGGCTTGAATCGAGACCTGGCTTGAATCTTAAGGCGTATCCCAAAAGCCCAAACACCAAAACAGGGCAGAAACTACTGTGCATGTTAGTGAGTTCTTCAAAACGGTAGATCTCCGAAAAGGTACCATATGTGTATGTATATACATACATCTATATACATATATGCACGCACAGACAAACATACATGTATATACATACGTGCGCTCACGCCCCCCGCGCCCCCCCCCCCGAACAACATTTAGGGCATGCGTGTCTGATTCAACCAGGTCTGAAGGATCATCTGCTCATCTGCTCATCTACTTCAGATTGAGATGGTCTACCCAAAACCATGTAAAGCATTGACTGGCGGGGATAGTCCCTCACTCTCCAACTACTAGGTTTTGACTGTGACTCAGCTGTGTCTGCACCTGCCAAGTACCAACATGTCATTAACACACATCTAGGCATCTGCATCTGCGGTTTCAATCCTGTTTGGGAATTCCTACTTATATTCTCAAACGACATAGACACTAAAATTCCATTTACATAGCTATTAGCTTTCACTAACGCCTTTTTTCGACAGCAACTCCTACTTCACTTCTCAATTAAAATTGGCATTGAACTGCAATTGTGCAATTGCCCTTCTTCAAGTCGATCAGAATTCCTAAAGGTTTAGCTTAATTACATCTTACTGACAGGAATTTCAACTCTAGGTTCTAATAGGCCCAGTAAATACTTGCTCAGCTCAGTGCCTTGCAAGAGATTTGTCGCCTTGATAAACTCATTACGGCACCTTGCTCCGTCAGCACGCAAATGACCTGACCAGCATAGCATGCCAATTGGTCGGGCGCGCAGCCAGAATCCAGCGCCACTGCGCTCCATAGCGCAGACACCCGGTTGCGCCTGCGCGGCAGAAAAAATATTTGGAATCACCCATTTACCCATTTACTACAAGAGTGGCCGCAGACCTCAAACCAGCAAAACGGCCAAAGAATGTTTCACAGGATGCCTGGTGCATGCAAAGTCCCCACTACGCTCACTAAGATCGCGCTCCACAACGGCCGCATCAGTGACACAGCAGGCCCCCAGATGCGAATTAGCCGTGGTTGAATGGCGTGAGGAAGTTCCAGGTCAGGGGAAGGACGTTTTATTCAAATTCTAGCTGAAGATACAGGTTTAACGGAATTCTTCCCTATTAAACTATATGCACATTCTACTACGCACATCATGTGGGAATCCCCTTGCAATTCTCTTTCAATCTAATTTACTGTCAAATACTGATTAAGCTTCAATCAGACTCCAATTTGGTAGGGGCTTGAAGGTAGTCTTCAAAATAGGGACTGCTAATATCGTTAGTTGACACTTGTCCGAACCAATCCAGCGCCTTCGTGTGCGTATCGTGAACAGTGGTCGTCCAAGCTAAAAGTAGGTCCAGAAGGCTTCTAAGGGTCTGCGTCTGGTTCTCCCCCGTTGCCCAGAACAATCCAGCAGGTGAAAGTGCATGACTCGAATCGACGAAATGGCGCGCGCAACACAACTGCTCTCTTTGTTCAGCTAGACTGAGAATGTAGTCACGCCTGGTACTAGATCCTAACTGGCGCCTTGAGCCACGCAGCACGCGTTGCCGGGCAAAAGCATCAACAAGACAGAAGTTTGGGGCCCAACCAAACAAGAAGCAAGTCACCATCAGAACCATGCCGCAATTAGTCACAGGGCACAGGAGTCTTCAACAATACCTATGGGTCTCTTCACAATGTGTATTCCATAAGGCAAGCTTCAGACATCTCGCTTGAGAACTCAAAAAGCTGCAAGCTGCTGCTTAATGTGACAGAAAGAGATCATCTGTCGAGCGCTTCAAACATACTGGGGCACAATTGTTCCTGTAGGCGAATAGAAACGGGTAGTTGATGGTTGATGTGGTGCAGGGCAATCTCGAAATCAGGCATTTCGCAGCTGTTCGCAGCTTTTGGCAGCGTGTGATTTTGTCTTCACATGCTGTGTCATGCTGCGGGAAGCTGCCAAATTCAAGGCATGTGCTGCGTGTGTCCCACAGCAATATGCAAGGATAGAAATTGACTTTTTCCCAATAGCTGAAAGCTACAGGAGTTCTAGCTTCTAATGAAGTGATTTGCAAGATTGCCGGCTGGGTGCTAGGGGGCGTGCAGTTTGGGGTGCTGATGTTGATGCAGGTGCTGTTTCGGGTGCTCTTTGAGCTGCTAGTGATGGTGCGGGCGCATTTTCAAGATTCCTGGCAAGGGTGCTAGGGCATACAGTTTGGGTGCAGGCGCAAGTGGGCATTGGGGTTACTGTTTTGGGATGCTGTTTGGGGTGGTGCGGGCGCATTTTGCGAGTTTCATAAGGAGCCTTATGAGCACTTGCCCTATTGGCAAAGTCTGACATTGCGACCTGAACTGCGAAAACAGTGAGCTGGCCCTGAGCGTGCTGCTGTGATGAGTCAGCCCACGTCTACAAAGGCCTTTCCTCTTGAAAGCTGACCAATACCCCAAACAAAAACTAACTGGCGGAAAACCAAAAAACGGTTGTTTGAGCGTTTGGAGCCAAAAAAGCAAAACACACATGTTGTGTTTTGGTGTTTGATGAGTGAGGGGCGTGAGAAACCCAAAAACACCCCGTGTGGTCTGGCTGGTTGGTTTGAAAAAGACAAGGAAAACCAAATAACACCAAAGCACCTTCGAGAAAACTGAGGCCAGACCAGCTATTCTCTTGGTGTTCTGTTTTGTCTGTTTGCTCGAGGACTTCTTCGTTTTGTTTAGGTGCTTGTTGGTTTTCCTCGAGTGTTGTGTTTGATGAGTAAGGGGAAATGCAGCAAAACAAATCCAGCAAGGGCTGTGGCATTTTAGCCTTTGGTTTCAATAATTGCAAAAAGGAGCAGCAGAACAAAATCAGTAATGAAGGGAGAGCAAACATTGCATCTTGAATGCTTAGTGTGCTTTTCATTTTGTTACTTTGTTGGCTTGAGGAATTTAGTGGCTATGTGTAGTCAAAAAAGGTAAAAACAGACGGCGTTTTACACTTCGGCAATGAAAAACCTCAAAAACACAGTGCTGGTGACACTTTTAACTTCTGAGAAGGCCTAGTGGTTCCTTGTTTGTACATCCCAACATGCAAAACACACTGTAAATAGCCGTGTGTTTGAAGGGTGAGATGAACCGCATGCTCCAAATGTAGTTCATGGGGGGGGTGACCATATATATATATATATATATACATATATTATAGAATGCTCAGAGACTCAGAGAGGGGAGAAAACCAATGCAAGGAAACCACCGACACGCTCGGCGCGGCTGCTTTGGGCCGAGGTACATGAGCTCCACTGAGGCGCCATCCAGCACGGCTTCCTCGCAGGAAGGCCCACCCCTCCCACGGGAATGCAACGCTGCACTTTTGGGGGATATTCCCAAGATTGTCTACAGTAAAATGTCCCAAAAAATAACATGTTTGGTCTACAGTCAAATATCAAAAACTGGATATTGGGGTCTACAGTCAAATATCAAATAGTTTTGGGAGGAAAACCCAGTTCAACGACTTCGGAGAGTCGTCTTTTTGTCTCTTACCGACAAAATCACTTCGTGCTAGCCACAAAACCTGCCCTAAAACAGCTCCCCCAAACACCCATTGTCAACCAGCCTGCCTCAGACAGCCAGTATGGGCAATTTTCCTGAAGCAACCGAAGGGTGTGGGAAGGGAAAAAGGGCCCGGACGTCTGGTTGATCTCTGGCTGCTTAAGCAAAGTTGCCCGAGCCTACCCCTATCTGATTTCTTTCTGCGGCCATTTGGGTCCCTATTTTGACACATCATTTGGTGGGTGTAAAAAAAAACACATCTTTCGCTTTCGACTCTCAAAACGTCCCCATAAAATGGGCCCCAGTTGTCCCCAAAACAAAGTGGATGAAAGCTGGCGTCTCAAGATTTCGAAGCGCCATGCACGAGCCCAGCGCCTGAACAGTGGCTTCATGCGCATAAGGGGCATCCACACAAACCACCTAGGTCGTCAAATGATGTTGCTTCCCACCAACTGCGTTTGTTTTCTTGGTAAAGCATCTGGGAAAGAAGCGAAAACTTGGCTATCTAGGCCATTTTCTCTGGGCCCAATTCGCTCCTGCTCTCGGGGTAACACCTGCTTTTGCAACAGGCGTGATTTCCCAACTCCCTTTGCCCAAAGCACCGAGAAATGGAAGGCGAATACCCTGCATCGCCTTTGGAGACCCATACTTTTCGACTGTTTTGGGGTGGGTTTCGGCCCGTTGGGAACTTCTCTCAAGGAGATTGCGCCCAAACTCAAACGCCACTCCCCTGATCACGCTCCTTCTGGAGCGCTCTTGGATTCTTTGATCTTTCAGGTGCAAAATCACCCCCCCCCCCCCCCAAGTTTGGCTTATGTTCAATGGCATCGGTTGCCAGCCCCACAACAACACTCCCAGAAAGATAACCAGCTCACTGGATTCTAGCTTTCAAACCGTTTGTTTGTTTCCTATTAAAACCCGTTTACGTTGGTTTGATTGGTTTCCCATTGCCACCCTTCAATGGTTTCTCTCCAAAATAACATCCCCCTTCCAGTTCAGTCGCATCCGTTACATCCCTTGTTCCTTTGGCGTTTTTGCTCTCAAACTAGGGCTTCGGACCCCCACATTGAGTTCCGGTCGTTTGAGTGTCCCTACACACCGACCTGACGAGGGGTGTCCCGAGCCTCCCAAAGAAAACCGGGCGACGGATCACCCAAAACCCCAACCCCCGAGTTCACGCGAGGCGCCGCCGCGCCGCAGCACAGCGCCACCGCCACGAAGGCAGCCTCAGAGCGGCAGAGGCTTTTTGCTTGTGGTACCCCCCCCCCCCAGAAACCTACCTGTTTTTCAGGATTCACTGGTGTTTGCCGGGTTTTCGGCATTTTTGTTTGGGCTTTGGGGAAAGCAATGAAGAAAGCCGTATTTCGACAAACAATCTGGAAGCTTCAGGTTTTCAGTTCAATATGAAGGCACAGGCGCCATCCGAGATTGCTGCGTGATACAAGGAAAGCAACGCGTTGTATCCAAGCCTCTGGACTTGGATTTACTCTATGCCGCGATTGCGGCGGAGACTTGTGGGCTGCTTCCCCGCTAAAACGCTCCGCGACGCTAATGCCGGCATGACCTTGTTTATGCATATCTGTTCTCAGAAGGCTGTCCACCCCAGCAACCAAAACAATGTCTGGCTGGGGGTCTGGCGGAAAATTGGGTTGGGGGCGGGCTGGGGGTTAGAGGGCGGGACCATGTGTTTATATATGCTATATATATATATGTATACATGTTTATACATATTGGAAATCGTGCACCCCAGTGCAAAAAATACATACATACACTGGGTCCATGCTGGCTGCATACTGTATTTCCAACCTATCACGACCAAAGCAAATCTGAGACACGCACGAAGAAGCTGCCCCGGGTCCTGCGGCAGCGGCCACTTCATGCGAGCTCCGTGGCGTTTGGGGTTCGCTATGCTCTAGCATCGACAGGGTGATTCGATTTTGGAAACCATCCTCGTTTTACTTCAAGGCGTCTACGTAGTTGAATTGGTTGGAACTGAATCAGAAAGATATGGCTAAAGACGTTGGTCACCTGCTATACAGGGCGATGAGTATACTGGGGAAGACTCATCGCAAAGGGTGAAGATCACAGCTGCTCTGTAAAGGAAAGCCAATGGAGAACCACCTCATTGGTGTCGTCTGTTTGGGGACACACTATGAAGATTCATAAATTCACCGAATCTAAAAAACGAAATGGACCCCTGAGAGAGGGACCTTTGGTCGCACGCCAAAGGAACAAAACCTTTCCGAGGTCTTGGCTGAATTTGCGCAGATTTGCAAGCATTGGTCAAGTCCTTGACAAAGGCTTGGTGACAAGCCCTTTGCTCGAAACACACACACACACATACATGCGCGCGCGAATCATGCATTTCAAGTTTTGACCATGGCAAAGGTCCAATGACAAGTTTTGAAGAAGACAAACTGCCGCAAAGTTGTCCATTGATAGCTTGCTGCAAAACACGTCAGAGCACAAACAGTTCTGCAAGCTGTACAATATGTCCCAAAGCTGAACTAAGAATTGCATCCCCAAGTAAAGGACCGGACCTCCCTCATGGGAATCAGTTTGGCCCTGGTCGGAAAGCTCAAAACCAATCAAATAGGCAGGACCGTTGCCGCTGGACTGGCCTTCCATGACTGTTACTTGGATGCTCCCATGGTTGTAAGGTCCAGCTATCTGGAACCATGGTTGTAGCCTACTTCAGAAGTTAGTTGGGTTCAACATCTAAGTGACGGTTGGATGGACCCACAGCGCATCCGGCCTGGCTTCCGAAGCGAAGACCAGCGATATGCACCACAGGAGCTCAATCAAGACCTCGGAAATCCATGGGGAACTTCGTGGCCTTAGTCTGCATAAAAACTACCCTCCTGTCCACATGGAACCCACCAGAGGATCCCTTTAAAATCGTCTTCCGGGATCCCTCAGGTTCCGTGTTAGTGGATGGGCACGCATGCGCGTTCTTCTTGGAAACCACTTTCCAGTGTCCACTCACTTCCTCCCTGGCACATGTTGTTTGAAGCCCAATTCATAGACTCGCTTCCCAAGCGGATTAGTTAGAATTAGTTTGACGAAAGTCGACACATTCTATTTACCACTTGAAGGATCCTAACAAATCAGTTCTGTGGTTGATCCAGTAGAGAAAGCAACTTTTCTTGAGGGTTGGTACAGCCGTATTTCGCCTTAGTCCAACGGCAAACCGATTGATCTGAATTGGTTGAAAGAAGAACAAAACTGAAATAAGGGATCTCCCAAGACAAGAACCTTCACAATAGGGCTTGATTCACCCCAGGATCGGCGAGCTTGCCTTTTAAAAAAATCGGCAGATTGATCCGTCAACATCCAAGCAGGCGGTTCCTAATAAAAGGGTCCGTCAATAAGGCTGTCCTGTGAAAGGTTGACCTGTACAATAAGGTTCCTTACCTTGCTGGTGCGCAGTAGGGAATGTGGAAATGAACCCAGGGATTCCCTTGAAGGAAACCACCAGTTCGTTGGTGTGTCATTCCATGTCTCATTCCCTGCATCTCTCGCACCGATCGCTTCAAATTCTTGGGCGTGGGGTAGCACGCGATTCCGAGGCGCCAGAAAGGGTCGGCGCCCGCAGCCCCGCAGCCGCAGCCAATCAGAAAGCCCACCTCCGCTGTGGAAGCCACGCCACCGGCCCCAGACTTACGGGCAACGATCGGAGGCTCTTTGGTTTGGGGGGTAAACATATTCAAAGAGTTGAGGATACCTGAAAGCCCATCTCACAAAGGGAGATTCGCATGGAACCCTTGGTCGAGCACATGGGGGCTGCTTTGGAAGGCACAGGGATGCTTTGGAACAAAATAGATGGAAGGTTGGAGAAATCCCAGTTTTTATCTTGCGTGCTGAAGCCAATGTATGATCATTCCTCCCCCAATTCATCTATAGGGAAAAGCCCTTACTTGTTCTCCATCAGGTTGGCTTGACAATCTGGTTGATTCCTGTTTCATTCCCGGGTACGGCTAGAATAATCCCTCGCAGGGATTGGTTCCCACTTCTGTCCCGACGATTCCCTTTCAATGGAGAATGAGTCATTTAGGAAGGCCTCCAACTATTATCACAGAAGCAAAGGGTCAATTCCCACCTGCCAAATGACTGAAACCCAGACCGTACCCCTGCTTTCCCTTCAAAACAACCCAAAAAAGCCGCTCCCCACCTGAGAAGAAAAAAACACTCCCGGACAACAACAACAACAAAACAAAAACCTCCGGTGCCAAACCCGAAGTGGGCCTCAAACCCTCCGGGTTTCGCTTCCAGTCGTCGAGTCTCAGGTACGTCCGAAGTGGGCCTGGGATGGGCTTGAAAAAGGCCGGGGCCAGAAGCACGTTGGCGTAGAAGGTGTTCACCTCAAAGGTGCGACGGGCGCGCCTTAAGTTTTGGGACATGACCTGAATTCCATTTCAAAGTAACCAAATAATCGAATCCTCAGTTAGCCAGGTAAGTAGGTTCTAACCATGGTAAGGGCACTAACCAGTTGGAACCATGGTTATAACTTAGAACCTACTAAGCTGGGGAACGTCCAAGGAGTCTCCCAGCAGCTCGACAAATTACCAGGGAAAAGGGCCGTCAGGTCGGAAGACCTACGCCACGAATTGGAACCCAGGATTTATCAACCCCTGGTCGGCAAATGAATAGAGGGGTGCCCCATTGAGGGAAGCCTTCCCTTTTTGGGGGGGGGAGGAGTGACGCCACCCCCATCTCTATCTGCCATGATTCATCCGGGGTCAACGTCGTCAACGAAATCACACTGGTATCTCAAGCCCCAGCGACTGTGCAGGGATTCCGGGAACTGGCCTTAGTATAGATTGCTACACCGCTGCGTGGTTAATACGGGGATGTGTCGTTGAGGAGTGAATCCTTCTCACAGTTTGGAGAAGCAACTTTCTATGAATCCGCTAGGTCCGAGGTCGACATTAAACGGTTGCTCCCCCATAGGCATTGTCCACTGAAAGTCGCAGAACGCGAACCAAACGATCTAAGCCACCACTGCTAAACCACAAGCCCAAGGGAAGCAGGAGGATGCAGCCCTTGTGACAACGCAGTGACGACACCGCAGTGGCTGTGAGAATATACCCCTTTTCTACTGGGGGCAGTGGTTCGGGGGTAGGTTGATGGTTGACGATTACAAGGTGGTGCTTGAGAGAAAACCGAAACGAACCCGGAAAAGCCATGTTCAGGGACACCCGCATGTATAAATGTGACAAAAACACATGCTTTCATATTGGGAGTCTTGTTGTGAGGTGCTGGGTTTGGGTTAAAGGAAAATGAAAGTGGCATCACCCATTTGGGAGGAATACCTATTTTACACGTATTGGTGTTTGGAAACTAGCCTCCTCCCCCAGGCTGATTCGGTATGAGTGACTTATAGAGGATAAAGCGCAAATGCGACGGTTGATCAAGCCAGTGTCACTTCTTCCGCAAACCCTCCATGTGGTTGCTTCCCACAATGGTGAGTGATCCTTTTTGGACAACAAGCCCACCACAGGTGTGCCCTATTTGTGCACAAGCATAAATGAGGAATCCCAAAGTAAAATCGGTGAGCTCGCGCGGCACTTGCAACAAAATGACCCCCCGCCCTTTCTGCGAAACAGAGGGATTCTCATTCCCATGACCTTGAATTCTGCAATTTCAAGGCAACTACTTTGGTAAGACTGGCCCTCAAACCCGTCAAACTAGGCGTCTGAGCCCCTAAACATGTCGGCTTTCCTTTGGGTTTCGCTTGAAAAACCCTCCAAAAAGGAGTAGCCTCGAAAAAACAAGTCGAGACACAGCCGTCTGTTAGAACTCATTCAATGGTTCACCGCCCAATCCGAAACCGAGGAGCTTCCTCTGGATAGGCTCTGCCATCCTGGGCCGAGAGAGCATCAAGGCAACCTGGAACCGAATCCAACCCCCGCCTATCCCGCAGGAACTTCTAGTAGCTTGGCCTGAATGCGGCCCCGCCCAAGTAAGGCCTTCGAAGATAAGCAACTTGAACCTGCTACCAAGATACAGCGTATCGATTCATATCTTGGAACAATGTCAGTTTCGGACCAGTCAAAACCAAAACCTTTCTCAATTGCAAGAATCACATGCAAACACCCCAGATCAATCTGAAGAAGGGTTGCTTATCGCAAGTGGACAATATGAGTTGAACCCTGCCCCCCCCCCCTCCCACCCACGAAAACAAAGTGGCTTAGCAGCAAGACATCAGACCAACCGCCCACAGAATTTGGTCCAACAAAGCAACAGCTCGTCGGGCAAGAAGACACCCCTCACATGGGGCAGCACAGCTGACATAAAGCACAAAAGTGGATGCCAACTGGGGGAGGAATGAACAACTGCCCCCGTCAAACGGGCGGGGGTCGCCCGTTGCTGCAGGCCACCAAACAGAGACTTACGTTTCTCAAACCAGGCGCCCCACAACAGAAAGAAGGAAAAAGATCTGATGACCCAGATATCCTCGTTAAACACCGCAAGG